GTCAGCAACTTTTACTTAATTTCTTTTATATTTTCCACCTATTAACATTTTTATTTTTCATTTTGAACCAAAAGAAGAAAAAAAAAGTAATTTCATTTTGAACCAAGAAAAAGAAAATGGTAATAAGTGGAAAATATTTAAAAAATTAAGTGAAAGTTGCTGACATGGTAGTGACGTGGCGCGTTGACTGTTAGTCGACGCATTTGGCCAACCAAGATAACAGTCAAACATCGGGTTTGGCCAATTTGGTTACTTTGATGTATAGATTGGGTCAGGATATTATAGATAAAAAAGATTGGCCAAAATATTTATTATGTACAAAGTTCAACGAAGATAACTCAGGAACTTAGTACTCAAATTACCAGTGAAATGAATGACTCAAATGATAAGACATGAAATTGTTAACTCACTCAAATGGTCTTATGTTCAATTATAAAAGAAAGAAAAATTATCAAATGGTCTTTTTTTGTGTGGTACATATGGAAAATCAAGGGAGGAGATTAGATGCTAATCCTTATGGGAGTTAGCACCATACTAACTAACCTAATTAGGGGTGTTAGTCGGTGCGATTTTGGTTTAACCGCACCGAAATATCGGTTAACCGCAACCAAAATTGTCCCAAGATCACTAACCGAAACCAAAACCGACAGAAACTTCGGTTAACCGAAAACCACAAACATCGGTTTCGGTTTTCCCTTGCGGTTAACCGAAACCGCAGGTTCTGGTTCACTTTCTCGGTTTTCGTTCAGAAACCGACCACCCAAAACCGAATTTTAACCACCTTTTTAAATGATTCACCCTCAATTTTGAGTGACCTGCTTTTGTTTCACCCTCTATAATCACACACCATAAAGTCATCTAAATCAATTGAACATTGATAGACCGATAATTACACATGTTTTCACCCCTTTTCTGGAGCCGTTTGAGATGTGGATTCTCGTGTTTTAAGCCGATTTCACGCGAGGTTGTACGTTTGTGTTATATTTCAGGACTTGGCGGTGGAATCGAGGCAAAGGAACGAGATTTGGGTCGAAAGGAGCAAGTAAGGCTTGGAGTGTGCTGGAGAGCCAAAATACCCGGCCAAAGGCAGGAATACCCGACCGGGTATTTTCTGGCCATGGTCGGGTATTTCCCACTTTGGGCGTCCGTGAGAAACAGAAGGGCGCCCGAGCAGGAGGCTTAAATCCCCGGTCGGGGATTATTGGTCATGACCGGGGATTTTCCCTTCACTGAAGTGGCGCGTTTTGAGCATACCCGGTCGAGACCCAAAATACCCGACCGGGTATCGCGATCAGGCAGCAGATTTAAGGGAAAGGAAGGCCAACATTCAGGGGTTCCGAGTTTTTGAGAGATAGAGCGATTCCTATAGAGAGAAAGCGACGAACCAGAGTTCCCAAGTGCCATAGCTTGATCTTCATCACCATTGGAGCCCTGCTTGAGTTTGGAGAAGTGCCGATTAAACGTTCAGGAGCAGAAATCCGTCTTCACAATATGATTTCCGCGTCTGAATCTGCTTTTGCTTCTTTCTTTATGGAGTAGTTTCCCCATTCATCTGGGTATGGGGAACCCTAGATTTGTATGCTAGGTCTGATTGTATGAACCCAAGTACAGAGTTTGTGAATTGATTATATTCGATTGAGGTTTGAATGATTGAATGACTTGAATCCTGATCAAATTCCTGTTGTTTCTGCTTTGACCTAGAATGAGAATATCTGCCTAGGTTGATAGAGTATCTTCAATTGAAGGTAGCGAATTGGTGACTTTAGTCGAGGAGCCAATTCGCTATTCTGTGCCGAATTCAATTCGGTAGTGGAGGTTTGGTTCGTTAGGGCCTCAATCTGTTTACTCCGGTGGAGGTTTGTCGCCCGCTAGAGACTCAGCTTGAGAGGGTCTGAAGACCTTTAGTCGAGACTTCAGACTATTTGAGAACCTTCCGCAGTATAACTTTCATGAAAACTGAACTTGGTAAATTGCAATCCGACTTAACTGCAGTCTAGGGGGAACCATATCCGGGTGATCTCTCTTGACTTGAACAACCGTTTAACTTTCTTTGTGTTTTTGTTTGCTTGAATCTGCACTAAAAGTTCACTGCTAGATAACGAGAATTCACCGAGTAGTCATCAAATCTAGGACCCGGGTTGACAATAAAACTCAAACCCGCTATACTACGCTTTAGGAAGTGGTTACACTTGGCCATTTTCTAGAGTGACAGTAGGAGTGAGTCAAACATAAAGCCTAAAGCAACCACACAATTCAACTACAACTCCACAACATAAAGTCTACATGCCCACAATTCAACCACAAGTCACAATCACACCAAAACACAAATAACAAGTTCATTATCTCCAAATCATCAACCTAAATGATCTGAGGATCTCGCTCCAATTCATCTAGCCCATAGTCATCATTTACTCCAAGATTTTCATCTAGCCCATAGTCATCAACCTAAGGTTCACTCTATCGAGTGCAAAGGGGATTTAGAGAGGGGTGATTTTCGAGTTCTAACTCTTAAAAACATTTGAGACTCTTGATGGAGGGTTGTTTGCAATAGGTGAGAATTGAGATGTTTGGAATTGCAACTTTGATTGGTTTTGAATCTTACAACTTTTTCCCTTAGCCAAAGTAGAAAAACCTAAAGAAGAAGGAGGATTGGGCTTCAAGAATTTCCATCTCTTCAACCTGGCGCTCATTGGAAAGCAGGTTTGGAGACTGTTTGATAACCCCGACGCCTTGTGGGCTAAGCTACTGAAAGGGCTTTATTTCCCAAATGATGAGCTATTCTCGGCAACGAAGGGGAGAAAGAGCTCCTGGATTTGGAATGGGTTGTGTGAGGCAAAGGAGAAGATGAAGAGTGGTTTGGTAAGAGGTATTATGTCTGGGGAGGATTCTTGGTTCCATTGTGACCCTTGGCTGCCCTCCATTCCGTGTTTCAACTTGTCCCACTTGGGCTTGGACCCATCAAAAGTTAGTGATTGGATTGACCGCGACTCTTGTAGCTGGAAAATGGATGCCATACGTAATCTGGTGCCTGAGGAGATTGCTCAGGCTATTGCCCGGGTTCCGGTGGGTCCATGTACTGCTAAGGACAGCTGGATTTGGCGGTGTACGGAGACAGGTTGCTACAGTGTTAAGTCTGCCTATCGGATGTTTCGAGAGAGTCGTGATTCAACTGTGGTTAATGACGTGACCCCCTCTGCTCGACCTAACAGAGACGATTGGAAGTGGTTGTGGGGTCTCAAGTTGCCTCCTAAGCTTCGTTTTTTCATTTGGAAATGTGGTAAAAATGCTATTTCAACACGAGCGAGGCTGTTTGGCCGCAAGTGTGCTCCTAACCCATTGTGTCCTCTCTGTGAGAAACACGAGGAAACGGTTATGCATTGCTTCTTTCAATGCCCAAAGGCTCTTCAGACTTGGTCTCAACTTGGGCTGCAGAATGTGCTTCCTGGGGCTGACTCTTGCTTTGTGGATTGGTTCTTTGGATTCAAGGGATAGAGCCCCTGTTGGCCAGATTACCAGGATTGTGTGCTCACTGTGGAATATCTGGATTGCTCGAAATGGGTGGGTATTTGAGAGTCGGGCGTTCTCTCCGCCCTCTGTGGCAATTTTAGCCGAACGTGATGTTTTAAATGTCCAAGAAGCTAGGATCGGTTCCTCAGCTCATCTCTCCTCATGTCCAGCTGGATTGTCCTCTCAGCTTGGGAGTTCTCGATCGTCGACCTTATCACCGCCTGGTCCTTTCTGTAAGGTTGTGCATTGTGATGGTTCCTTTATTTCTGATGCACAGGTGGCGGCTTATGGGATTGCTATTGCAAACTCCCACGGTCAGGTTATCGACGGGAAGGCTGAGCGTTTCTTTTGTTCTTCTCCGTTACAAGCGGAAGCGTTTGCGATTCTTAATGCAGTTATCTGGGCGGCCCAGGACCCTGTACCAACGTGTGTCCGATCCGATTGTCAGAGGTTGACGAATGCGTTGAGACAGGATCCGAGTCTTTGGCCCTGGCAGTGCCGGGCATCTCTTGCTCGTGTGGGTTCCATTCTCTGTGTTTCTCCTTGGATTACGGTGGAGTTTGTTCCTCGTCGACTCAATAAGCTAGCTGATTGGATCGCTAGGAACTCTCGCCTTGATCTCCTTCCTCCTGAATGGTTTCTTGTTGCCAACCTTGTCGCTCCATTATTGTAATCGTTGTGCTCCCCTTGTTTGGGTTTGGAATGAAATGAATGATGAATGTTGTAAAAAAAAATACTAGTAGGCGGTTATCGGTTTTCTTATCGGTTAACCGAAACCGAAATCAATAAGGAAGTAGCGGTTATCGGTTAACCACTAACCGTTTATCACCCCTAAACCTAATGGCCTTTAGATTAAAATAATAATCAGAGTTAGAATTAATGGGAGGATAGTTTAGTAATTATTCCTCTAACCCTAATATAAATACGAATTTTTTTTGGGTTATAGGTAAAATATGCCCCTTTACTATGACGATTTATCAAACATGCCCCTCAACTATTTTTTTACATCAAACATGCCTCTATACTTTGAAAAAATTATCAAGCATGCCCTTCTGTTAAAATTTCCATCCAAAATCCGTTAACAAAGGCCGAACTTTGGTTTGGGTGACACAAATGTCTAAAATATTCCTAATAATTTCACTTTAGAATTTTTTTTTGGTTCTTTTGTATAGCCAAATAATTCAAATAATTTCACTTTGAAGAGACACAGAGAAATAAAACGGGAGACAAAACTGACATTTTCGCTCCCATTTGCAGATGTCGGGTCGTCTAAATCTCAGTTCAACCATGATTGACGATTTTTTTCAATGGAATGTTTAACAGAAGGGCATTTTGATAATTTTTTCAAAGTACAGGGGCATGCCTGATGTAAAAAAATAGTAGAGGGACATGTTTGATAAAACATCATAATAGAGGGGCATATTATACCTATAACCTTTTTTTTATCAAACCTATGGCACCACTCCGCCGGAAAATTCAGGGGACTCCGGGCAATGCTCTTCACCTCCATGGGTATTTTCGGGTTGGTCCCGTTGGTCCACGCCGGGTTGGTCAACTGGTCGAACCCGAAGCGCGATGCCATCCTGTACTACGAGGGTGCCATGGCATTGTCGTACCTGACGGGGACCACGTTCTACGTGGCACGGGTGCCTGAGCGATTTCGGCACGGGTGGTTCGATTTGGCAGGACACAGCCACCAGATCTTCCACGTGCTGGTGGTGCTCGGCGCGCTGGCGCATTATGGCGCCGCGCTCGTGTTCTTGGAGTATCGTGACCAAGTGGGTTGCTAGCTCGACAAAAACAATATATTTATTGGAATGGAATTTATTAAAATTAAATTAATTACCGCGGTGATTAATTTTAATTTATGTGTAAGATGTAATTTATTCTTATTATATATAAAAATGATTTATTTGTAGGGGTCATCATTGTTTATTATTGGTATGAAAATTCGACCCCCTAATTTTTTAATAAAATCGTCATGTTCCTATGCTAACTATAATGGATGCTAACTAGGGACTAAAGCCCTTATTCCTATGCTAACTATAATGGATGCTAACTAGGGACTAAAGCCCTTAGAAATTGGAGGTTATACTCGTAACGGAAGTGGGACTAGATACTATAACAACGCTGCTTTTGTTGTTATTGTAACAACACTAGTCTCCAACCAATAGGAAGGTAGGGTTGTGATGACTTTTTATTAGTTGAGTTGACCTAGTGTAAAATCAAAGCAGGGGTATAATTGTCATTATGAAAAAATAAAAAAATAAGAAAATAATTTTTTTTTATTTTCAGCCAAAAATTTTGGTCACCGGAATTCGGCTACCGATCGCCGGAATCGGGTCGCCGATCACCGGAATATGCTTTTCGTCGTCGGAATATGCTATTTTCTCATCGGAATATGTCACAGTCACCGGAATATGCTTACCGGCGTCGGAATCTAGTCATCGGGCCCGGAATATGCCTATCGGCGTAGTAATCTGCTCACTGACGATCATCGGAGTTCGGTCAACGGTCAACGACCACCGGATGTTATGGTCTTCATTGTGAGATTTATGGTTTGGTTTCTCACATTTTTGTATGCCTTTTGTGGTTTGCTTTATCGCGTTTGTGGTTTGCATTGAGAAGTTTTTGGTTTGCTTTATGGTGTTTGTGGTTTGCATTGAGAAGTTTCTGGTTTGCTTTCAAAAATTTTGTGTTTTGCATTGAGGGTTTCTGGTTTGTTTTAATATATTTGCGGTATGCATTAGGACGATTATGGTTTGTTGTTTCGTGGTTTGATTTACCGTGTTTGTGGTTTGCATTAGGAGATTTCTGGTGTGCTTTCGCAAATGTTGTGATTTGCTTTGTGAGGTTTGTGGTTTGTTTTACGGGATTTGTGGTATCATTAGGAGGTTTCTAGTTTGTTTTATTGTGTTTCTGGTTTGCATTAAGATGTTTATGGTGTGCTTTCAAAAATTTTATGGTTTGATTTGTGGGGTTTCTGGTTTGTTTTAATGGATTTGTGGTCTGCACTAGGAGGTTTTTGGTTTGCTTTTTTGTGGTTTGCTTTACCGTGCTTGTGGTTTGCATTATGAGGTTTCTGGTGTGCTTTTCGAAATATTTATTGTTTGTTTTGTGAGGTTTATGGTTCGTTTTAGGAAATTTGTGGTATGGATTGAGAGTTTTTTGGTTTGCTTTTTGTGGATTGCAAATCTGATTAGATCAATACTCGAATCAAGACAAAGTCATATTCCTAAACCTTCAAGACAAGTCATATTCCGGTGCAGGCTTGAAACACAACTACTACGCATCTCAACTCGGGCAGAACATACAGAAGAACCACTACGCCGCCTGCAGAGACGGATGGCTGCTTCTCAAAAAAACCCTCCCTTGCTCACGCTGCCCATGCCACCCTCTCAAGTTCTACCTCCTCAATCCTGTCACCAGCAGCATCTTAAGTGAAAGTTTCTTCTCAAATTAACTATCAAGAAGAAAATGCCACATTTCCCCTCTGCATTTGCTCTGCCTTATACCTTGGAAATGAAAACACACCAGCAAATTAACAACACAAGCAGTTTGTATGAATCCCGATCATCCAACTCCAAAACCTTCCAGAGGCAAAATTTTCTAACAAATGATTCCTTTTTAGCAACTATATGATTCATAATCTGGCAACGAACAGAAGTTGTCATTTTTTCACAATATAGTATGGGAATTGTCCAGTACCACTTCCAAAAATTGCACAACTTACAGAAAGAATCAGTACCTCAGTCTCACCTTCAATGAGATGCAGGTTCTTCTATTATGATTGGGAAAACCATTTGAGTCATGATTCGAAAAGGTCGAGAATCTGCTCGTCGCTGCAGGCGTGGTACAGGCCGTCGGAGATGCTCTCCCGACACCCAGTTGCCGCATCTGTTTCTGGCAGCCGCGCATCTCCTCGACGGAGTCCTCGAAGATGGAGAGGCAGTCCTGGAGGGCCGAGGACGCGTGATCGTCAGAGCCGTAGTCGGCCAAGCTTGCAGGCCGAAAGAAGAAGAGAGGACGCAGACGCGAAGGGGGAATCGGAAAATAACCGCTACCGTTGCTTGCCTGGTCGTTTGGATTGTCGTCGGCGCCTGAACCGGGAGAAAGTAGAAATCATGGAATGGTTCAGACGAAGAAGAAATTGAGATCGGGATGGGATGGGATGGGATGCGAATGCGACGGAGAAAGTTAGATTTTTTATTTTAATTTAATTTATTACTTTTACCTTTTTACCCTTAATGAATCTTGTTGTTATTATAACAATACAAGGGGTGTTGTTATAGTATCCGCTCCCGGTTATGTTGGATCTTATATCACACTCTAACACACGCCCCCTCAAACGAAAGCCAACTCATGAGCTTGAAGTTTGCACAGGTTCACTATACCTTGTGCTTTTAATCAACTGTTAATATTGGAGGTCGTGGAGATTAGGACACACGACCACTTGGTCAAACCAGCTCTGATACAATGTCATAAAAACATTTGATTCCAATAATTTGAATTGTTGAGAGAAGATTATACTGAATCTTATACTACACTCTAACACAACATACGAGTCAGGGCTCGGCTTTCTCCCTGAGTGAGCTTATGTTTCCAAATATGTACTACGGCCCAACCCATCAATAAAAGGCCTGAAAGTTTAATTTGATTGCAGAAGCCCAAGCAGAAATGGAAGGCAAGCCCATTATTAACCAACACACAAAAATTAGGGACGTCGATCTCTTTCTTAGTTTCTTTGACACCTTGACTCCGCCGGCGACTTCAGTTGGTCTGTCTACTACTCCATGGCGACGGCAGATAACAGCACCTCGGCTTCGGATCAGCGGCAGGGCTCAGGTTATGCACTTTGTAGCTCCAGCAAACGGAGGAGGTTAATTTCAGCAGAAGGTAACGCATCGATCTGGAAACTGGCAGACGATCTCATCGTAGAGATTTTGATCCGCGCCCTCCCTAACCCTAGGTCCGCCTGCCGGTGCAAGCTCGTCTGCAAGCGGTGGAGCTCTCTCATCTTCGACCCAGTACGGTTCAATCGCCGTTTCATTTCTTACCACCGGAGCAGGAACCAACAACCTCCTCTGCTTCTTCACTCAGACGACCCGCAATCGATCATCACGAGCTTTCTCCCTATGAGCCGTCTATCCCGTATGTCCTTTGCAGTAATGGATTCTTACAAGGACCTGGTCTTGTGCGGATTCGAGGATGTGGGTCCCACCAGCGGCGAATTGTACAGAACATACTTCCTCTGCAATCCGTTTACCAAGGAATGGCTCGCCCTCCCTTTGGCGCCTGAATTGCCAGCAGGGTGCCCGTATTTCTTCACAAGGTTAGTCTGTGAACCCCGCATGCGTAATGATCTCGATCTAGGAGATAACCAAGTCTTTGCTTATTCGTCCGAGTATCGATTCCGCGTGGTGCGCCTATACCCGCGTGGATCGTCTGCAAAGCTAGACGTGTTCTGTTCGGATACCGGAGAATGGACCAAGGATCGTCTTGTTATTCCCAATCATTACCAATGCATAGCCAGAAATGTGGTTTCCTGCAATGGGGAGCTGTTCTGGAGTTATGCTGTTCCGAACCAAGATAAAGATGCTGTTTGCCGGTCGAGAGTTTTCATTGCTGCTTTTAATCCTTTCCGACCCGACATCCCTCCCACTGCCATTGATGCTCCGGAAGTGTTCTGCAAACCCGGGTGGGATATCTCAGTCTCGCAAGGCGCCTTGCACGCCATTGCATTTGAAAATTCACTTCGACCTGATCATTCACAGATTGCATCGAGTGTTTGGAGACTGGAACAAGACAGTAAGTCTTGGAGGAAAGTATGTGACGGGCTGCTAAAGAAGTCGAGATTGTATGAGCTTCACCACTATCTTCGGCCATGTTTGCATCCAGAGAAGGCGGAAGTTTTCTTCCTCAAACATCGTGGTGATGCTGGTGTAGTATCCGTCTTGTCCTGCGATTTGAGGACAGGGGGAGAGGTGGAGCTCTTCGCAGAAGCAAGAGTATTCTTAAGTTATTGGAACTTGTTCCGAGTTCAATTCTCTTGCTGGCCTACTTCAATCCCAAAGTACAAGGAATTGCGAGTTATGTACGATGGAAGCTGCAGCTGTTGGATTCAGAGCAACATCGGAACTGATGGCAACACTCATTCAATACTTGGTACTTATTACTGCTTGCGATTCAGAGCAACAACGAAACTGACAACAACTCTTCTCATGTTTCCTTTTGTGGCCTACTTTTTGATCATTGTTTACGTTGTTGTTGCTTTGTTTGCTGAACCAACAGATGGAGCAGGAGGTGCTTGCTGAAAGGCTCAGATCCGGAGAAGGATGATGGCATTAGAAGGAACTTATCATCTATCTATATGTCTATCAATTTAGGGGGAAGGAGCTGATCAACTTGTATGGTGGGTCTGGGAAGTGTTGGGTTTCTCTTTTATCTTTTTGGTCATAATAAGCTCTTTATGACCCTTAATTATGGCTTCCTCGCAATGTGACCTTGTATTAAAATTTGTAACTTTCGTACCTTTCAACTGTACTAAAATGGAACCCATGGTGGAAAATGTTTACTATACTTATTATTCTTCTTGCTTTTGCAGATACCAGGTGTTTGTTATTATTAACTTTCAACCCGAGAGTGAGATATCCAGGAGTTCAGATTGGCACAGAGTCTGGATTATTGAGACTGCTTCTATGTATCTTTTCTTATCCACTTTCGTTGATCTGATATTGAATGATTTCGGAAGTTGTATGGGGTTGCTTCCAGATTCTTCAACTGAGTTGCAGAGAGCTCTTCTCCTGCGGCAGGCTCTTTGAAACAAAGGCTGACGATGATAACCTATTCCTATTATTAATTATGGTAGAATAATCATTATTATGGCTAGCATTATTCAAGTCGTATGAGGTTAGTTGTTCAGTTTTTTCAGACTTCCCTTATATACATGTATTTTGTATTTACGTCATAAAAGAAAAATCTTCTAAACTCCAACCTCTCATCTCCTCTAATTTCTTGTTCTCTATCCCTCTAAAACTTCGATCAATTCTCTATCCTTCTCTTCTTTTTTCCCAAATTCTACTCAATCTTCGATTCTATCTTCCTCAACCCTAAATTCACAATTACATCATTAAATCCATAACTCAATCGCCAGTTCTCATCCAAAATTTCGTTAGAAACTTCATTTCTAACAGCTGATCAAGACCCAACACTCCATGGTCCTTGGATGGGAAGCAAATTCCCCAACAACAAGGTCTAATGTTCATAGTCCCCACCAAACTTTGGGATGCATAATTGAGAATTTATTATGTACTCGCCAACTCACCGATAAAGTAATGTAATTCAGGATCGGGTGTAGGTTAAACTCTTAAGCAAAGATAACAATCTAATTACTATACCCTATTATGTGAAAAAAATTAGTTAGTCGTTTTCACGCATCACTATAGCGCCATATAAATCCAAATCTCCAATCTAACTTAGTTCCCTGCGTAACCCATACTAGTGCCTTGCCTTCACATAAGCACCATTTTAAACAAATCACTGAAGCAGAGATAACTGGTGTTCAAAACTTAACAAATCACAACCATCAACCGATATATGACAAAATCTTGGTTTTCGTCAGAATCTACCAACAAAGTGTCAAGTTCTCAAAAGGAGAGATTCGAAAACGTATCAAGTTCTCAAAAGAAATCACACGCAGATGTTCATAGCAAAAAAAAAAAAAAAACAACGAACTGCCGAAACTGATCAAAGAGATCAGGGTACCACTCGAGCATCTCAATTGTGGGCATCACTGGCAAGCTGACTACCATCCGAGGGAACACTTCGACCTTCTGTAGCATCCACAGATCGATTGCCACCAACGCCACTCTGTCGAGTTGTAGCTGATAGAAGATAAAAGAATTAAGCAAAATTAAGACCAATAAATAGAACAATTAATAACTCAACAGCTAACAAAGTCAAAATTTACCTCCACCACCAGTGTTCTCAGCCAAGTTAGGATTCTCTTGGAGCTGCTGAGCGTTGTCCCCAACACGGGTCTGTCACAAGTATTAAGACAAACAAAAAATTAGTAAACTCATGAGTTAAAGAACAAATTACCTCCTTCGCCAGCAAGTGAATTGTTGTCAGCAATCAGAGCGCTGTCCCCAACGCTGCTCTGTCCTCCAGAGAGAGCTGAAGGTAGATAAAAGTTAAGCATTGTTATCAAGACAAATAAACAAACTAATAATTAATCAACACGAGTAAAAGAATCATACCTCCTTCGCCAGCAAGTGCATTGTCTTCAGCATGGTCATCAACCGCATTTCCAACATTAACAACCGGATCTTCCGCATGAATCGTGTTGGGGGCATAGGAGGTAGGGCCCAGGTAAGGGCCCAAGTAAGTGCCCAAGGGGTCGCCATGGGCCGGGAGCGTGGGCCTGGCAAGGGTGATGCCCGGCCCAAGAAGGGAGGAGAGGCCAGGGTCCAAGTGGTGGGACCAGGTCTAAGATGGGGCGCATGACAACAAAAGGGGGGCAACGGTCAAAAGCGTACGGAGGAGACACGGGGTGGGGCCGTGCGCCTCGTGGGTGCAGATTGGTGTCAGAATGTCAGGGCGCCTGGAGGAAGAAAGGTATAGTGCATTTAATGAGGTGATGACGTAGGGCGGATTTGGGGGGCACTGGTCGACCCTAGCCCGAGTATAAATAGTGAAGTGGGTGGAGCTCATTTACTCAGGTTCCAACTTCTCTCTAAAACTTATATTCTACTTCTCTCTCTAGAAGGTGGTTCTGACTTGGGCGTTGGAGTGCTAACGAACCCTTCCACAGGGTTCGGTGGGCGCTTTTGTGTGCAGGAGGAGAGACGCTTAGTCGGGGCGCTTGAAGAAGGCAGTTACGTGGCTCAAACAATTGGCGCGCCAGGAAGGGGGGTATAACCGGAAAAAGAAAAAAAAAAGAGAGAAGAGAGACTCATGGAAGAGGCGGCAGAAGCAGCAGGGGAAGGGAGTTGCGCCTTTAACGAGGCGGCCTCGGAGGGGGCGCCTCATGTGTCTGAGGAGGCGCAAGGAGCGGAAGGCGAGGCGCAGGAGACGGCCCAATCAGAGGGCGTCACACTGACCAAGGAGCATTTGATCAGCATCATAGAGGAGCAAGCCCAGGCGCTAGAGGCATTGAGAAGGGAGGTGGAAGCTCTCAAGAAAGGTGGGGACGCCGCGCCCCCCCTCAGCGGAAGGAAGAGAGAGAGGGACGAAGATGAGGAAGGAATGTCAAGCGCGTTGAGGCGCACGGAGGAAGCGGGACACTGGGCGCGTCGCGGAGCGCTAGACCTCGAGGAGCCAACCGGGTGGGCGCCCAGGCGCCTAGGGCGTCCTTGGGGAGTAAGGCAGCCACTTGCGCGAAGCATCTTGGCGGAGCAAGCCAACTCAGTCATTCCAGCGCTTCCCAGTTACGACGGCACGTCCGACCCGGAGGATCACCTGAACAACTACTTCACCAAAATGCAGCTATACAACAGCTCAGACGCCACGTTGTGCCGTGCCTTCCCATCGACCTTTGTTGGCGTAGTGCTGGACTGGTACCACCAGATCGAAGAAGGGAGGATCGACAGCTTTGAGAAATTCGCGGCCATGTTCCTCTCGAAGTTCGCCAGCCGGAAGCGTAGTAGCTTGACGATTAGTGCGCTGTTTAAGATCAGGCAGCGCAAAGGGGAGGCGCTTCGGGACTTCTATGAGCGGTGGATGTCGGTCGCGATGGCGGTCAAGGACGTCAAGTCGCCGGTCTTGGGGTGCTGCTTAGAGGAATGCACCAACAGTGAGGAGTTATGCCGGGCCCTATCGAAGCGTGATGTCGTGTCAACGGAAGACTTGGACCGACGGGTGCAGAAAGTCATTATGCTTGACGAGACGTTGGCCGCAAGGAGGTTGGAATGAAGGGAGACACGCCCCGGATAGGAGGAGGCGCCCCGGATCCCCCGGCCACCCCACGCCCCGCAGATGACCCAGACCTACTCACAGGGCGCCCGACGGCCCGAACCCCCACGCTTCCCACCCCGGAGCGCGTCGAACTTCACTGAGCTCAACGACTCTTTGAAGAATGTTCTGCAATATGCAAGGGATAAAGGGTACCACCTCCGCTGGCCGGGACCCATGCGGGGGCGCCCGAACGAGCAAAACTTGGATAGGTACTGCGAGTTCCACCGCGAGAGGGGGCACCACACGGCCGACTGCTATCAGCTCAAGTCGGAGATACAGGGGCTAGTGGACAGGGGAATGTTGAATGAATTCCTGAGAAAGGGGGAGGAGGAGGCGCAACGCACTTTTATGGCGCAGGAGGTGAAGGCGGCTCCGCCGCGAGAGGGCAACCGAGAGGGAGAGGTTGAGCACGCCCAGAGAGAGGCGCCAGGGGAAGGCGAGGGATTACCGCCTCCCCCTTTCTAGGTCGAACCCGAAACTAATCCCGCTCGAGTGAGGCTGACCATTGAGGCCATTTCAGACACGATCGATCTAAGGCAAAAGTTGGAGGAGGGAAGGCGGCTGAAGTCAGCCACGGCTAGCGCCCGGGCAGCTGTGCAAATTCGTTTCAACGAAACCCCGGAGGAGGCGTGTCGAGTCCCGTCGGTAGAGGCGTTAGAGATAAGGGGGGTGGTGGCTGGATGCGAGGTGAAGAGGATGCTCGTGGATACGGGAAGCTCGATGGATGTGCTGTTCCAGTCGACCTTCGAGAGGATGCAGTTGTCACCTAGCATTGTGAGGCCGGCCGACACGGTCCTAGTCGGTTTTTCAGGGGTGCCGGCCCGAGTCGTAGGGCGTGTGAGCCTGCCCGTGACGTTCGGGGAGGAGGAACAAAGGGTCACGCATACCGTCGACTTTGGCATAGTAGATTGTCCCTCCAATTATAACGCCATCCTGGGGCGCCCGCTTCTGGCTCTCTTCAACGGGGTAGCCTCGACGTGTCACCAGGTCCTGAAATTCGTCACCCCGAAAGGAGTAGGAGTGTCAAGGGGCGAAGCGTCACAGGAGGCACGCCTCGTGAAGAGGATGCGCCTGTACAACATTGACGTACGTCCCGAAGACCTGCCGAGGGCGGAGGCGGCGAACGCCGAAATCCAAGTCCCCTTGGATGAGAGGCGTCCAGAAAGGTGTGTGCGTATTTCTGCCCATACCAGTGGGGAGGCAGTTGAGTCGTTGGTCGGATTGTTGAAAGAATTCGCAGATCTGTTTGCGTGGAGCGCCCGGGACATGCCGGGGGTAAGTCCGGAGGTGGCGATGCATCGCCTTTCCGTGGAAAAGGGCATGCGGCCCGTACAACAGAAAAGGAGGTCGTTGTCAGAGG